CTCTTTTAATTTAAAATGTATTTTTATGATAAGGTACATTATATACAAATGGGCAGCGGATCAGTATTTTTTTTAAAACGTTTTAAAGAAAATCATATACTTGCACTTTAATGTTTTGTATTCAAATTAGTTTAGAAAATATTTTTAAACATATTATTGAGTTTTTTTTTTTTAAAGTACGTTCGATCAAAACAAAAATATAATATTTCGTTGCTAGTTTTTAAATTTTAAAAGTAATTCAGTGTTCACCTTTTGCCACATCGTCTTAATAAATTGAAGTCACTAATTTGAGAAGCCGTAGAACTCATGATATCACACCATATGACCCTAAAAACATAGAAAGAAATGTTAGATATTATAATTTATTAGTATGATTAAGTAGGCAGGGAAAGTATTTAGTTAAAAATTATTAAATTGTTAATTTTAAAATAATACTAATGTTCATAATATTATTTTATTCATAAATTAAACTTAAAGCTARTAGATGAATTATTCTTATTAAAAATTATAATAATAATTTAGGATTAGATTATGTTATAAATTGTTTGCATTAAATAYATATTATTATTATTATTATTATTAAAAATGATTATTTAAAAAAAGAAGGGGAAGTAAGTAATTCTAAAATTTTGCTGTACAGTAGATGTAAATTAATGAATGTCATTTATGAGAAAATCATTGAAATGTATATGTGTTAAATTTTAATTATTTTATTAATCATTGCATAAAAAAAACGATTCTGAACGAATATGGCCTTTCAGCCAATACATCACTAAATATATTTTATAATAGGTATATATTTGTAAAGATTGTTGTTGTAAAGTAATTTATTTTAGTATTAGTAAATTGTAATACAATTGTTTAAATACATGTATTTTTGCCGAAAATATTGTACTTGAAAATTTCATTGTATGTATAAAATATAAAAATATACGTGTTTAATCGTTTAATGTTAAAAGTTTCAAACACCATGAATAATATTATTAATTTACAACAAAATATTGCATAATTAAAATCGTCTTTCTTTATTTAAATATCTGATTTCATCCAAATTTGAACTTCAAATAATTTTTAAAAAAATAATACTAAAAAAAAATTTTTGATCGGTATTTATAGAAAAAATCTTATAAAACTTAAATGGCAATATGATAAACATTTCAAGTATCTAAGGTTACTTTTTTTGAGAAACAAAATTGAAAGTTGATACTGGTATAAATTCTACTTCTGAGTAAGAATTCTAATTTTTCCTAAATTTTTTTCGGTCATTTTGAAAAGTAATAGGATTTTTTTACATTTAACTCCTAATGCACCAACTTGATATAGAAGTTTTTACCGGAAACCACAAAAATTAACATTGTAGAATTTTTACTGCCCCCAAAAGTGTTGAATGACATGATGAAAAAAATGATTTTAAAATCTATAAAATCAATTTTCGTTCAAAATCTTAAATTAAAATATTAAATAATTCAAATACGTAATAGTATACTGTATATACTGTATACAATATATAATATGTTACCTACTTAATAATTATATAGTTTAAAATGTATTATTATTAAATAATTTAATGTTAATTKTTAATGATATAGTAGGTATTTGTTTACAATATATTAATTGTATAACACAAAAGTACAAAAGTTATGTTAATTTCTTTCTTATTCGTTTTCAAATCAAATATGTTACKACAGAACTGAAGTTTATTTTTATGAAAATAGAATATATTTTATTCTCTGTTCATTTTAAACATTCATACAGGTGTGTAATTTCCAAACTTCAAAGTGTTGTAGTGTGTGTTGGATTTTATTTGAAATAACGTTTTCTAATTCAAAATGTTTTCTTTATAATGCAATCGCCGGAAGGAATGTTTTTCTTCTACTATAGGTGTTCCAGAAACAACTTTGATATTTTTGACCACAATAACGACTGAATAAACTTTAACGGTTTATTATTATTATTATTATTATTTCGGTTATCTCAAACGTGGTCGCCGACACGATTTTTAAATAATGGTCCAAAATATCGTCGTCAGCTGGATAATAATACTATGTTTGTATTTTTATTAGCAACGGCTACATGCGTGACAACTCTATTCAAACAGGTCGTATATTACTAGGTACACATACAGAGTGTTTTTATTAACGCGATTCAATGTATATTATAGGTATCTCTAAATATTAAAATAGTTCGTACATACATTTTGTTAAATAAAATACTAGCTATTTTTTTMAATGTAATATTTGTTTGCTAATAACTAAAATATTAATTTTGTTGCAGTCGAGTTTTAACTTTTTAATGTCTACTGTCATCTATTATCGTCTCATAATATAACAGTTTTTTTTTATTATATTATTATATTATGTATTGTGACTAAGGTTAAATTTTTTCAACAGATTCAATAATGATTGAGAAAAAATTTTAAAAAAATGTATTTTTGTTTTTAAAGTTATTTGAACGTTCAAAGTTGTTGGCGATCGGTGCGCGTCAAGAGAACCACCCTGTACTCCAGTCTTACGTTAGAGACGATTTATACACCTGCACACGATGGACCACAAAATCACGCGCTCCAGAGCACACTATACATGTATAGCTGATCTGCCTCACAATAATACACACACGTTCTCCTATTGTACGACGGTTTTAGCGTTGGCACAACGGATTGCGTCGTCGGAATGTATGTACGTTGTACGTAATTTGTGTGTGTGTGTAGTTATATATAAATTCTTATATTATTATAATGTGCACCTATTATCCCATTAACGAAACCGTTGCGTAATTCGCTAGAATTTTGCATTCCTACAGCCAAATTTATACTTTATCCTCGGATATACTACGTGTCGTATTCACCACCTTTGATGTCTCTTGCCGGAGAATTTAATAATTTTGGTACCTACCCAATACCCATACTTAAATATATTGTTATTATATTATTCATAACGAGTCGAATGGTTAATAGACAGTGGTGAAGGAGTGCTTAAACTGCCACGCACACACAAACGCGCCATCATTATTTTATTATGTATCTATATTATTCTATTATTCTACATACCTGCACGGGTTGCTGTGATATTCTAGTGCAAAGATTATGAACTTACACACAACTACAGCTAATTGTAGGACAGGTGTGTGCAGTCGAAAATCATAACTGYTAACGTCCTCGTCSGCGGCTTGCGGTATTTGCGTTGGTTTACGAAACGTAATCGAATTATATTATAGTTTGCACGTGCGTTAAGTCGTATAGTAGGTACAGCAATTATTTTGTAGACGGTAGTAATAGTAATATTAGAAGTTGTACTTGTCTTGTGGTTGTAGTGCGAAAACTTAAGACAACACTCAGGGGATTTTGGGGGTAAGAAAAGTTTTTAGTCAAACATTAGACGACGCGCGCGCAGTATGTGTTTGCGCAAGTTTGTCGCACTTGCGTGTACGTGTGCGGTGTGCATGTGCATATACGAGTTTTCCATCCCTTTATGCCACCTGAAGTTCATTGATGACGGTGACAAGTCTTAACGTTTCGTCTGCCTTAAACTAATATTATATCACTAGATCAAAAATAATTCGAGTGTATATAAGTACTTGCAGAGAAAATATATTTAACAAAAACCAGTTAAATGCGTATGATTCTAGATTAAAATTTGTATTAGCAATAATTTACAAAATAATATCAACAAGAGTAAGACATAACAATAAAGGTACATTAATTAATAATTGAATTCAAATTCATAATAATTATAATTAAATACTATAGTTAGTGAATAGTGGGTTATATACTATTTATAATTACTCATTTTATATATCAAATAATAATTTATAATATTATCGTTACAATAAAATATTAACGTTTAATACCAAGGTGCTTTACAATCTTGTATTTAATGTTTTTATAAAAATTTACATTTATTAATTGGTTATTTATAATAGAATCTTTGTAGAATATGTTTAGCAGGTATCTAAGCCATCTTTTATTAACAAAACTAATTTCAAATAATTATTGTTATTTTTTTTCCTTTTATTAAAAATAATATTTAAAGTAAATTAAATTTCATTTTTATTTTATGATGTTTATATACTATTTCTGCTTTACTATTATAATTCAATAATTGTATAGTTTTAAAACTATAGTAAATAACAATTACTAATTAGGTTAATTTATATATATCTATAGTTAAAAAAATTTATGATTTATTATATATTTTAATAGTTAATTATTTTTAGCAGTTTAAATTTTAAACATTCTATGAAATGTGAAATTGTAAATAGATATTATCTAATATTAAATATCAATAAAAGGTAAAAAATAATTTGTCAAATATGACCACTCGTACTACTGAATAATAACGTTCATTTGAATCTACAGGTGAATATTGTTATTTATTATTATCAGGTCGTTAAGAATACAACGTAGGTATAAGTATTACAATAACTTATTTACCATAATATGTAAAATGTATAATGACTATAATGTAATCAYGTACCATTCATTTTTCGTATTATAACATAATATTGTGGACAGATTATTAAATTTTTTCAAATAAATAAAGGCATACTAGCATAAAAGCTTGTAACTATACGAAAACTATTTCAACCAGTATTTTATTTAGTATTAGGTACTATAGTCTATAGGTAGGTACTTATAGCCTTTAATGATAATAAATAATAATAAACGACCTTGTGAATTATTATCGGAACAGCAATCTGAAGTGGGATGAGATGAAATTGTTTTCATTCATATAACTTTCGATTCAATGTATCTACGAAATTATGCAAATGATAAAATATGTATTTCATTAATATTTATGGATTTTGGCTGATTAGAATTAATTCAATTTCTAGTTAAATTGTAATATTACTTATATAGTAATCGTAGGTATGTAATTGTAAATTATTAATTGAAATATATTAATATGGTTACAATTAAAATATTAAATTCAAACATAAGGTACATGGTTAAGTGGTTTAAAAAAACCAATTGAAATTGTATGATCTCTGACAGTGTGATTATGTATCTTAACAACTTCACCATACATAAAAAAAATACCGGAAACTTGAACCGTCCTGAACCGGTTTTACTAGGTTTAAAAATTGGTTAGATTATATTTTCTGCTCGTTCCCGTTGCTTGTGGTCATCAAAAATATCATTAAAATATTTTTCAGTATTTTTGTTTATCGGCGGAATTGACGTTTTTTAACTTCGATGTTCAACCAAAAAACACATAAAAACAAATATTAGTTGTCCGTAACCATTTAAAATTATAAAAYATTTTTTTTATAAAAACTGCAAGTACCCATACACATAGGAGTTTATTCGGTTAAACGCACTTCGATGTTTT